TGACTTGGAAATATTGCCATTCCTCCACTGTCTTTGGGTCAAAATCCTGGAACTTCCTCCCTAAGGGCATTGTGAGTCTAACTACGCCACATGGACTGCAGCAATTTAAGAAGGCAGCTCACCATTACCTTCTCAACAGCAACAAGGGGCTGGCAATAAATGCTGGCCAGCAGGTGACACCCACGTCCCATAAATAAATAAAGAAAAACATTCTTTCAAGTCGTATCAATGTTGTTAGTGTCATCTTGGACAATGACAACTAAACACTCATTACACCTTTCCAGCCCCAAGGGGATGTCATTAACCCCAGCACTGTGCAGATAACATAGCATTTGAGAATCATGCTCACAGCTGCAGAGAATAGTAACTATCCCCCTAATTATGCTGTCCCCTATAACTACACGTTCCTACTTCCATACCCCTCCACGCCCAACTTGAATGACTCCCTGTATGTACCACAATGATGTGGTCAATTTGCTCGTCCTCCCTACAATCCAATCTTTTGTGCACGTGGCTCTTGTTGCAGGTGTTAAGGATTCTCAAACACTGCTTTCTGAGTCCCGATACTTGCTTCACTGCATTTGCACCCTCCCTTCCTGATCACAGACCATATTTGATTCCTAACCTGATGGGTGCAACTACTGCCTGGGGCAAGATGGCCAGAAGCTTGCCCCCTCTCTGATGTGGCACAATGTCTGAAACTTGTACAATAGTTCCTCAACTTGTATCTGAGGTTTTTCGAACTGTGATAATTTAGTACATATGTGTTTACTCTGGATCACCTTTGTGTTCTCCTGTCCCTTCTTGCAGCATGAACACACATTCATCTTTGATCATTATTGTATCTTGTTTAACTTATTTATTAATTACCCTAGCATCCCTGCTCTTGACACTGTTGTAATTTTTTTACACCTGTATCAACCTTCTATTTAACCAGCTCAGTTAAGTGAGAACAAAAGACATTAGACCTAAGCACAAACTAAAGACCTTACTTTACTTTAAAAACTCACCAGTCCTACTCGCCAATCAGCTGCTATCCTTGCACCCACATCACATGGTTTGTGAGTTCACACTGCCGATTGGCCTACCTGCTGTGAGGCTATCATCTCAATCCATAGCTTTTATTCTCTCCCGCTCATCTTTTGCTCAAAATAGACTATTTTGAGCTTTGGGAATAGAATAAACCTTAATCACTCACCATTGTTTATCAATTAACCATCACCCCCTTCTCCAGCAGAGTAGATATCAATTCGTGAAGGCTGAAAAGGATTTAGAGAAAAGCAACCAAGAGCCTTCCTTTGTTTAACTACTTGAAGTTTTCAATTCTACTCATTCAGTGCTAAGTCACGTTAATATAGCTATATAGATACACTCTTCTAACACAAGGCCTTTCTGAATGACTTAATCAGGACCTTGATCCTGCTGGTTCTTAATTAAGTTGCAGTTCCAGTGATTCCTTTGAAAAAATTCTGCTTAAGGCTAACAACTGCAATAGTTAAACCAGCTTTCCATTCAATGCCAATTGAAACTAAATTAAAAAATGGAGGTGTGATCGGTGAAAGATAGGATACAAACTGCTGAATTTTGGATGTGTTTTTGGAGAGTTGAGAATCAAATACAGAACAAGATAGTATGAACATAATTGCTTTTAGGTTAAAGGTTATGTTAAAGGTATGGATAAGGATTTTGTTAACAGCTGGGCTAAGGTCGGGGCAGATGTTAGATGTTAACAGAGGCAGGCAATCTCAAGAGAGTATATAGGAGCAAACCCTCAATATGGATCATATGGGACATAGAGTTTGCATGTCAAAATGAAGGCAGCGACTGGAAGAAGGACAGATTCAGTGATGAGTACAGATTTTGCGATCGGCCTGAAGGCAGTGACCTTTGTTTTCCTGCCGTTTAACTGGAAGAAATTGTCATTCATCCAGGACCATTGTCAAGGTGCTTATTGGACATTCTCACAGGAAAAGTCAAAGGCTGTGGGGCCCTAGAGCTAGGGCTTGACAGTACTCCAGTGGAACCTGAACCCCAGTCTTCAAATAATATTGTCATGGGATAGTATGTGGATAGGGGAGGAATATAGGGACAGACTAATGATGCTGTTTCATATGAATGTGTTCAAGGGAACTGTGGTAAATCCATGGTGCTGGTGAATTCAGGGAGGGCATCAGGGAAGATGGGAAGGGAGGTATTAATAAGCAGTCGGTATGTTGCAGGGTTCTTTGTGGCTTGGTGGATAAGGGAAATGTAGGGATCCTGTGTAGGTAAATGATTGGTTGGTCTCTTACTTGGTGACAAAGAAGTTATAGAATCAGTCATACAGCAAGGAACCAGTCCCTTGGGTCCAACCAGTCCATGCCGAACATAATTCCAAACTATACTAGTCCCACCTGCCTGCTTCTGGCCTGTATCCCTCCAAACCTTTAGAATCACTACAATGTGGAAACAGGCCCTTCGGCCCAACAAGTCCACACCAACCATGCTCCTCTTGCAGGATGTGGGAGGTAAGGGTCACTGACTTCACCTGCGAGAAGTGCACCCAATTCCAGCTCCTCTCAAACCGCGTTAGGGAGCTGGAGCTGGAGCTGGATGAACTCCGGATTATTCGGGAAGCTGATGGGGTGACAGAGAGGAGTTACAAGGAGGTGGTCACACCCAGGGTACAGGAAAAAGGTAACTGGGTGACTGTCAGGAAGGAGAAAGGGAATAGGCAGACAGTGCAGGGATCCCCTGCGGCTGTTCCCCTCAATAATAAGTATACCGCTTTGGATAGTGTTGGCGGGGGAAGGCCATAGCGGACATGTTTCCTGTTCATTTATCTATGAAATGTCTTTTAAACGTTCTAATTGTACCCACATCCACCACTTCTTCAGGAAGTTCATTCCACACACAAACTAACTCACGTCTTTTTAAAATCTCTCTCCTCTCACCTTAAAAAATTGTGCTCCATAGTCTAACTCTACCATTAACTCTATCTATACCTGTCATTATCTTATAAACTTCTTTCAGGTCGCCTCTCGTCCTCCTACGCTCCAGTGGAAAATGTCCCAGTTTATCCAGCCTTTCTTTATAATTCAAAACTTCCATACCCGGCAACATCCTGGTAACATCTCTTCTGAACCCTCCTCAGCTTGATAATATCTTTCCTATAACAGGGTGACCAGAATTGGACATGGTATTCCAGAAGAGCACTCACCAATGTCCTGTACAACCACAACATGACTTCCCAACTCCTGAACTCAAAGGACTGAACAATGAAGGCAAGCATGCCAAACCCCCCTTTAACCATTCTGTCTAAATGTCACACAAACTTCAAATAATTATGTACCTGCACCCCTAGATCCCTCTGTTCTACAACTAGGCCGTACCATTAATTGTTTAATCCGTACCCTCGTTTGTTGTATCAAAATGCAATGCCCCTCATTTATCCAAATTGAACTCCATCTGCCATTTTTTAGCCCATTGATCATTTGATCAAGATCCCTTTGTAATCTTAGAAAACCTTCTTCACTGTCTACAATGCCGCCAATTTCGTTGTCGTCCATAAATGCACTAACCATGCCATCTATATTCTCATCCAAATCATTGATATAAACGACAAACAAAGAGGACCCAGAACTGATCCTTGTGGAACACCGCTGGTTACAGGCCTCTAGTCCGAAAAGCAGCCCTCCACTATTACTCTGTCTCCTGCTGTTAAGCCAATTATGTATCCAATTGGCAAGCTCACCCTGAATCCCATGTGACCTAACTTTACTAATTAGTCTACCAAGCAGAACCTTGTCAAAGGATTTACTAAGATCCAAATAAACAAAGTCAACTGCCCTGCCATCATCAATCTTTTTGGTAACTTCCTCAAAAACTCAATCAAGTTTGTGAGACATAATTTTCCTCTCACAAAACCATGCTGACTATCCCTAATCAATTTTTTCCTCTCTAAGTGTCCATAAATTCTATCCTTTATAATCACCTCCAACAATTTACCCAAAACCAATTGTCTTTTCACTTGGCTGTTGTAAGTGAAACAGCTAACAGGAAGTGAGAACAAAAACAAAGTTGCTGGAAAAGCTCAGCTAGTCTGGCAGCATTTGTGAAGGGAAAAAACAGAGTCAAAGTTTCGGGTCTGAACTGAGGAAGAGTGAAAAGGCAATTGGTTTTGGGTAAATTTTGTTGGAGGTTTATTTCTTTTTGGTATTTGTAAGGCATTTCTCACTTTAATATATTAATGAGAGATATCATTGCTAGTGCGCATGCTCCTGGATGTCATCAAGCGTAGCCAAATAAGAAGTGCAGAAGAAATACTTAATTAAGGCAGTGGGTGATAAGTAAACAGAACAGAGTACCAGCATGAGGTACAATAAGCAACCTTGACATGTTTCAAAAGGAGTTTGACAGGTTATTGTTAACAACTAGAATTCCAGATTCTGAGGAAAGGTCACCAGACCCGAAACGTTAACTCTGTTTTTTTTTCATAGATGCTGCCAGACCCGCTGAGCTTTTCCAGCAACTTCTGTTTTTGTTCCTAATTTATAGCATCTGCAGTTCTTTCAGTTTTTATTTAGTAATATGAAAAAAAGGAAATGTATTGGTGTAATTTTCCATGTTTAGGTGCTTGTTCTAATCTATGAACCAATTAACTGCCAAAATTTGAATATATGTCAAAAGGCACTTCTGGTTAAAGAAGCAGCAACTATTGTAGTAAAGTAGATCTCTCCAACATATAATGGGATAAATTGGTCACCCTACTGGGTCATAAGTGCAGTCTTTTATGCAAATGAATAGAAGATATGTGATCAATCCATTCATGTGGGTCTATAACTTTTGAAGTAAGCTTCTACAAAGAAAATAAAATTCTACTTTGAACTCAATTAAACCTTACACACCTTTGTGAAATACGTTAACACAGGTAATGCTTCATCTGATGTACATATACACGTTAACTACGCAAAAGATTCATAAAGCTGTGTAATATTTTAACAAGTATGTTATGATTACAGGATAAAACATGATCATGTGATTCAACATGGCTTGGTTGTCGATGGAACCAGCCTTTCACTTGCGCTCAGGGGACATGAAGAATTGTTCATGGAAATTTGCAAAAACTGCAGTGCTGTGTTATGTTGCCGAATGGCACCTCTGCAAAAAGCAAAAGTATGTTGAATACTCCAAAGTACAGTTGGAATAAAAGAAATCAAATCTACTCGTGCAGTTGTTGTATTGCTTTGACATTAAATTGTGTTGTAGTATGATAATAGAGGCCAAAAGTTCTCAAATGCTCTTTTCCTCAAGTAAATTTTTAGTGAAATAGAAACTAATTTATTCTATCTGATGAAAATACCAGTGTCTAAAGTTCAGTTCCCTTGATGGCTCAATGTAGCAGCAAATGCATTTCCTATCAGATCAGGCCATGAAACTATCCCAATGTTATTTTGGTTTCATAAGTGTCTCTTTACTTTTTTATGTTTTCATTCACTATTTGGTTTTATTTTTGTTCTAGTACTCCATGACGGGCTGTATAATCTAATTGTTAATATGTTTAAAAGAGCAGACCAAGAAGTTGCTGTTTTATTCCAATTCTTGAATAACAATTCCTCTGTTTTCTCAGATTAGTGAAAAGAATTGCACCTTGTATCTGATTGGAGATCACTGCTAGAACTTTGTATGTCAGTCAAGGGGTTAGTGATTACAAGTTTAGTCAGGTGCATATGTGATGCAGTCTCTTCTTCACAGACATTATTTCATAATTTAGGGAGGGAGTTTTCTTGAAAGTCAGAATGAAGACATGATGCACTTTTGAACAATATGTCATTGAATTTTTTGTTTGCTGTGAACACAAAGGGCTCAGTGAAAAGTTTTTACCAAAAAGTTGACCAAGTAATTGGATGCCTACATTTATAGAGCCTCAAGGACAAAAGCAAAACAAGTACAAAACACTGGTTCTTCCTCAGTGAAATGTGTTTATTCTTCAGGAAAGCTATGATAACTCTAGAGGAATGCAGAAAAGATTTGCAAGTTTGTTTCCAAGTGTGAGAAACTTCAGCTGCATCTATAAGTTAGAAAAACTGGGGTTTTTTTTGGAGATCAGAGGGGATTTGATAGAAGTGCTCAAAATCATGAGGGGTCCCAGTAGAGTAGATATGGTAAATCTTTTCCCATTGACAAATGTCTGGAGAACCAAAGGATACCAATATAAGGTAGTTAGCAAAAGAACTAGGAACACTGGAGAAAAAGAAATGTAGAAAATGATTAGGATCTGGAATGCACTACTGGAGAGGGTAGAGAAAGCACATTTGCTTCTGGTTTTCACAAGAATATTGGATTAGTCTCCTCAAACATGAGCACACAGGAAAAGACTGGAGAATGGACTAGCTGAATTGCTTTTGCAGGGTTAGCATGGATAGATAGGGCTGCATAACCTCATTCTATGCTGTAAGAATTTTATGATTCTATCCAGTAATGGTTGACTTGGGTTGAGTTTGTGCTGAGGATGATTTTACATCGAAGTGATTGCCATGTCACAAGTAATTGTACCCAGCAAGCTGTCAATCCTCATTAAAGACTGCACATATTGAGGTGATGGGAAATATCAAAAAATCTGAAGAAATGCAGACAACCGTTACATTGTGCGTTTCCTAATGTCTGATTGTGCTGGTGGTGCTTACAAAGTAACTTTTTGTAATTTTACCACAAAGAGGCTGTGTCTGAATCCAGTGAGCTAATTAGCTCATGAAAGTATCTTCCCCATAATTGAGAGTGTGTTTTGCATGGCAGGTTTTGACACAACAAGTCAGTTGAGAGCTATTTTACTAGTCTTTGGAAAAGTGTTTTTCACAGAAGTCGATTTCAGCATGCAAAATCTGTCTTCCTTTGGATAGCTTTGTCACAACATAAACAATATACTGTGCGGTTCAGGAATAAAATCATTATGACCTCTGTTTTAGACTGTGACATGTCAGCCATCTTAAATGCAACCTCTGCAACTTCACTTCTTCATGCATTTGCCCATAGAGGCAAATCAGAGGCAGTTACCCTCCAGTGTTGCATACAAATAACTACCATATTCGAGTTATAGCTGCACTGTCTGCTTACTTCTGTTATGTTCAAACATCCATTGAGAGCGTTTAACAGAAAAAGAATCTAACGTCAGATTTTTCACATTAATGTTTTGAAATCTTGCTTCTATGTCTGTGTAATTCTTTATGTACTTTGTCTTGTACCTTGAACTTTGTGACTTAAACTCTGTTATTGGTTTTGTATATTTTCAGGTAGTCAGGCTTTTAAAGACATCACCAGCCAAGCCTATTACCTTAGCAATTGGTGATGGTGCAAATGATGTCAGCATGATAATGGAAGCAAATATCGGCATAGGTACTGTATGTAAAGCAAACTTGCCAGTTGTTTGTATGTTACAACTGTGGGTCATGTGAATGAGCAGGATTGTAGTGGGGTCAACAGTTCTGAAGGATATTGGCTGAAAGTGAGCTATGATGCATCACATAGTATCTGGACTTCTGTTGATAAATTAATTGGAATGTTCTTGGTTGTAGTATATGTATGTGATGTATATGAAGTATATTTGTCTCAAAATTGTAACCATTTCTGTTCTTTTTTTTCCATGGATATTTGATAAAAACTATTTTGTAGTACTTAACGTTATATAATTGGCTGTGCAATATTACCATTATTTCTTGAATAAGCCAGTAAATGGGGCTGTGCCATGTTTTAAGCAAGATTTGAGCTTCCTGCCAATCAACAGAAGCACAGAGAAAAATGCAGAAATTCTCCAGTAGTTCCTTTGAACTTTGATTAGTAAACCCCTATCTAAAACTAAATTGTAGCATTATTTTGTGCGCACGAGATAATTACGTGGATTGTGAACTAACATCTGTAATAGACAATTGAACTGATCCATACCCTCTAATTGGAGGTGAATTGAGTGTTTGCTGATTCTCAAGTTGAGACAAAGTTTGTACAACATTTAATTCATTCAATATCCGGCACTTCTCACTCTGGATTACATTGCAACACTTTTTTCCACTCCTGCACTCATTCGTTAATGGCAGAGACTATAAGCCAGGAGTCTCTTCAATTGCAAAGCCAGCACAAAATCCACCACTTAGCATGACTAAGACCTTTTTATAACATTTCTCTCAATGTGTGCTGAGTGTGTGATTTGTCTTCATTATGAAGTGCCTTGGTATCTTGTATTTTGTTGTGTTTAAAGTTTTACATTTTACAATTTTACACAAACTTTATTTAAAAACATACATTGCATATTTTGTTAACTGGTTATTGTAACCAATTTAAAAGTTTAAGAATTTTAACTTAAAAATACCACCTTTATGCGGTCTTAATATTTTCTGTCCACAGGTATTATGGGCAAAGAAGGAAGGCAAGCAGTGAGAAATAGTGACTATGCAATAGCAAGATTCAGATTCCTTGCTAAGTTACTCTTTGTCCATGGCCACTTGTATTACATTAGAATATCACATCTTGTACAGTACTTTTTTTATAAGGTACGTTGTCTGGATGATTTTTAAAAGAATGCCATGGGTGATTTTGTTTACATTTTTAATTTTACCTGCTAATTAACAAAACATTTTTCTCTACTTTTTTCTTTCCTTTCTTCTCCTTTTCTCCTAACTTCTGATGTTCTGTGTGCAGTTTTATATACATAAAGCTTACATTTCTAAAGTCCCTTCTATAACTAGGAGAGCACTTATTAGTTAAGTATTTTTGATGTTTAGTCACTGTTGTACTGGATACTGAAGATAATGGACATTGGCATGGCAGCAGCAATGTCTCTGATAGCTGTGACCTATGGAGACTGACTGTTTGAAAGGGCTTTGGAAGAGCGAGCGGAAATGAAAAGCTCAACTGGCTGAGAAAAGGGCCCCAGGAAAAAGAGAAGCCAGTGAATCGTACACCTTAGCCCACTGCAGCAAATCTGGCAGAGATTGTGTGACTCCTGAGCCACTCCAGCTAATATTTAACACTTGTTTTACATGACACAAGCTGCCACTACTGTAATGTAAAAAATGCAGCAGCCAGTTTGCACAGAGCGAGATCTTTACACCTAGCAATATTATTATAATAGCTATACAATTGATTTCTATAATGTTGGTTGAGGGGTAAGATTTAGCCAGGATGCTGGAAATAACTCTGCTATTTCTGTTCAAAACAATACCACATGACCTTTTACACTCGGCTGAGAGAATTGGCTGGGTTTCAGTTTAACTTCTCAACCCACAATGTAGTGGTTCCTCACTGGGGTATTGCTCTTTGACTTCGATGTATGAGGCTCTGGAGTGGATTTTGAACTCTCAAATGTCTGACTTTGAAGCTAGAGTGATATCAACTGAATCATGAATATTCGGCTGTGTCCAAATGCTTAGTCTGTGAATGGAGATGTTAAATGTCAACAGGCTGTTTGGAAGAGAATGCTGCCCCACCGATACTCATGTTTTTGCCCATTTCTATACTATTCATGAAAAGTTGCAATCAGGAAGGTGAAGCAATACTTTTTCACCCTTTGTTGACAAAGGGCTACGTGGACATTGTTCCAGCTCCGTTTGGATTGGTCAGTGCTTATTGTGCTGATATGGGCAAAATACTGCTCGACTGTGTCAACAAGAGAGCTTTAAAAAAAAATTTCTGCAGAAAGTTAATCTAACTTCAGGAGCTGAACAGAATCAAAATTTAGATATGTGAATTTTGAAATATTTCATATGCCTACATAATATGTATTATTTTTCAAAGGTGTCTGATACCATATTAAAAACAAAACTAACCAAACCCATGTTCTTTTCTTTTCCCCCTAGAATGTCTGTTTTATTACGCCTCAGTTTTTGTATCAGTTCTTCTGTTTGTTTTCGCAGCAGGTAAACATTACCTTTCATGAATTAATGATTTTGAGACAAGACTTTATTAACTCTTTCTGCTTATGATCTACTTCTTGCAGTTGTCATTTAGTGGGTATTCAAGCTTCTGAAGATAGGAGCAGGTTATTCAAAGTGTAAATCGTATTTTTGGTGGCAGGGTATTCTGGATTTCAATTGCATTTGTTACAGTTTTCATCCGAGGGTGTTTTTGGAATGAACTTCAATTTCTTAACCCAGGATAATATATACATATTTACAAATGAATTTTTATGTACATGTGGCTATATACTTTTGTGTAGAGGCCAGAGACAATTCAAGAAAGTAACTGTAGAATTAGTAACTCCTGTATTACTACAGGTACTCCTGATATGTGACTGGTGAGCTTATTTATTTCATGGCAAAGCTTGAATGATACTACACACAGTTTATGCAAAGCTTGTTGAGGCTCTGTGAAATTGTAGCTTGCTAATTGGATTAACAATTTAAATATCTGGAAACATTTTTCTTAACAATTGTCCATGACACAACCAGATGGCTGCACTTTTGGTTATAGGAACAAAAGAGCATAGGACTTAGAGCTGGAGTAAATTATTTGGCCCTTTTTGAACCTGCCCAGCCATTTTGTAAGATCACGGCTATCTGGTTGGTCATGGCTTGTCTCAGCTCTACTTTCCTGTCTGCAGCACGTAACCCTTGCCTCATTACCTGTCAAAAATCTATCTAACTCTACCTTGAATAAGTTTAAAGACCCAGCCTCCACTACCTTCTAGGGAAGAGAAGTCTACTGTCTAATGACACTGAGACAAAATGTTTCCTCTCCTCTCTAACACTTTTTTAAGAAAAAAGGAGACCTCTTATTCTTAAGCAATGTGCCCTAAGTTTAGTGTCTTCCCATAACAGAAAACAGCTTCCAGCTTATCCAGTCCCCTCGTGATCTTGGGTTTCAATAAGATCACCTCTCTTATTTGATTTAGGCCTAATTTTTCCACACCATTTTTCATAAGTCCTTCATCCCAAGAATAAATCAAGTGAACCTTCTCTGTTTCTGAACCAATTTTATCTACTTGTTCTAATAAGTAAACCAAAACTGTACTCAGCACTCCAGGTATGTCTCAGCAATGCCTCTGTACAGCTGCACTAAAACTTCCCAACTTATATTGAAAGAGAATGGAATAAAGATGATCACATTTCATTTGCTTTTTTGATCACTTGCTGCGCCTGTATACTAACTCTGATTCATGTACCTGGCCATCCAGATTTATCTATCACCAAGTTCTGCACCCTGTTTTCACTACTTTTATATTCTTCCTGCCAAAATGAATATGCTCCTACCATGTTACATTCCACCTAGTAGATTTTCGCTGATACACAGAACTGGTCTGTATCTGTTTGCAGATGCACTACCTCCTCTCGACAGCTTGCTTCCTTCCTATCTTGAGCCATCAGCAAATTTAGCTACCACATCTTCAGTCCCCTCTCCAAATCATTGATGTAGATTATAAAAAGTTATAGACCTAGCAATTATGTTCGTGGTTCTCTAATAATAATAGCTTGCTAATCCAAAAAAGATCCTTTATCCCTATTCCCTGCTTCCTGTTAACTTACCAATAATTTATTGATGTTACTAGGTTGACCTCTACACCGTGTGCTTTATCTTGTGCGGCAATCTTTGTGGTACCTTATCAAGTATCTTTTTGAAATTCAAGTACACCACATCCACCATCATGACTGTTACTCTGACAAAAAAATTCTAGATAAGTGTAGGTGCGTTTTTCCCCAACATGGGACAAAGATACAGGAGGTAGGCAGCATTCAGGCAAATGAAGATGTTTATTCAAGCAGAAGCCAGTTTTTGCAGGGAGTGGGGCAAAGGATCTTCCCCACATCTGGCTTTGGAAGATAGATCAATGACACACCCTTTTTTTTTTTTTTTTTACAAAGATATACGACATTTTTATACGTTTTGTGTTACAGTAATCAAATACAATATAGTCATCGTCCTTCCCCTTAATTCAAATACCCAATCCTGTGGGACATCTAATCAGTGTTGGGCACTTCCATGACAATAAGTATGATTTCCCTTTGACAGTGCCATGTTGGCTCTGTCTCGTCGTGATTTTCTAAATATCCTGTTAGGATCATAGGAAATGTATTAGAATCCATTACTATTATAAGTATTAGGCTAACTTGTCTAGAACTTCCTGCTTTCTGCCTCCCTCCTTCCTTGAATAAAACGGTTGTGCTTGCAATTTTCCAACCTACTGGGATCCTTCTAGATTCTGACGAATTTTCAAAGATTATAATAGGAATCCCAAACTCCATTTTTGCTCCTTTCAGCATAGCAGTTAGATCATTTAAATCCATCATCTGCTTTGAGATTACTCTTCAAACATCTATTTTTGCTTTCATACAACATTGATCATAAATGAAGGTTACAATAGCTATATTACATAAACAACATACTTGTGTATATATAACCATCTTTAACATAGCTGAATGTCCCAATGTGTTTCATTGGAGCATTTTGAGACCAACCCACTATTGGGATGGAAACTTGGTCGCTGCCTTTTGATCCACTATCTCTATTCTGGCTTGCATTAAGCTCCATTCGCCAATCAGGCCTGCGTGCTCACTGACCCACATTGGCTACCGATTTATGAATGCATGAACTTTTTAAATTTAATTTGCTTTCAAATTCCAACATAGCCTTGCCCTTCCCATCTATGTAACCTCCTTTAGTCCTGCAATTCTGCACAGAATCTGCATTCCTACAATTGGCCCTCATAGGACACTGCCAGCACCCATCACTCCACCATTTGCCGGATATACCTTCAGCTATCTGGATGATGATTTCTGGAATTCTTTTCCTAATCTTCATTAAGCTGCTCACTTAATAACCAATTCATAGAATGTGAAGTGTTTTGGGACATTTCAAAGATGTGAAAGGCATTTTTGTGTTTATGTAATATATCTATATTGTTCCTCATTTCTGAAATGTTAGGATTCTGATATGTCAGGTTTTTTATGCATATGAAGCATTCTCCTACTAGTCATCCTGAAGACAATGCTTTCCTCAGTTAAAGTTGAACCTCCTTAGCATTCAACTGTAGTGTATTTTTTCTACAAGTCCTTGTTTTGTTCTGGATAGCAGGAATGGATGTAATGTATGTACGTACGAGTTCCTAGCTGCAGAGCACTACATTTATTTATTTTTCTTACAGACGTTGTATGACGGTGCTTACCTGACATTGTACAACATTTGCTTCACTTCCTTACCCATCCTCATGTACAGTTTGTTTGAACAAGATGTGCAGCCTCACATACTCCAGAGCAAGCCATCATTGTACAAGTAGGTTGAATTTGAATATAGCTTTTTTTGCACCTTTTCCACATGCTGAAAGAAAGCGATTGCTTCAATTCAAATTAGGAACCAATGAAGTGTATTCAGACAGGGGTAAGTAAACAGGTCATTTCAACCTGGGAACCAGAACAGAACCATAGAAACATAGAAGCTAGGAGCAAGAGGAGACCATTTGGCCCTTTGAACCTGTTCCACCATTCATCACGATCATGGCTGATCATCCAACTCAATAGCCTGATCCTGGTTTCTCCCCTTAACCTTTGATCCCATTCGCCCCAATTGCTATATCTAGCCACCTCTTGAATACATTCAGTGTTTTGGCATTAACTACTTCCTGTGGTAATGAATTCCACAGGCTCACTTGTCTCCTCATCTCCGTCCTAAATAGTCTACCCTGAATCCTCAGACTGTGATCTCTGGTTGTGGGAGCATCCTCCGTGCATCTACCCTGTCCTAGTCCTGTTAGAATTTTATAAGTCTCTATGAGATCACCTCTCATTCGCCTGAACTCCAGCAAAAACAATCCTAATCTAGTCGATCTCTGCTCATGTGTCACTCCCGCCTTGCCCGGAATCAGCCTGGTAAACCTTCACTGCACTCCCTTGAGAGCAAGAGCATAATTCCGCAGAAAAGGAGACCAAAACTGCATACAATAGTCTAGGTGTGGCCTCTCCAAGGCCCTCTTTAACTACAACACATTCTTGCTCCTGTACTCAAAACCTCTCGCAATGAAGGCCAACATACCATTTGCCTTCTTTACCGCCTGCTGCACCTGAATGCTTATCTTCAGCGACTAGTGCACAAGGACAGCCCAGCTGCACACTCCCCTCTCCCAATTTACAGCCATTCAGGTAGTAATCTGCCTTGTTTTTGCTTCTGAAGTGAATAACCTCACATTTACCCAACTTATACTGCATCTGCCATTAATTTGCCCACTCAGATGAATTTCAGTTGAAATAGTTGTATTGATCTGAATTTCAAATAGTGAATAAGTTAAAATATGCTTCAGGTCTCGGCAAGATGCCATATTTGGGCAGACAATTAACTGAAATCATTCTTGCTATTTTGTATAACCTCATTGAAATTTTCTATTTTTACAGAGAGATTAGCAGAAATGAGGTCTTGTCCCTCAAAAGATTTCTGTATTGGACACTGCTAGGATTTTGTCATGCCTTTATATTTTTCTTTGGTTCTTATCTTCTGAGGGGAGATGATGCATCCATGATGGGGAATGGTCAGGTAGGACTTCTTTTTGTTAAAACTAACATTCTCTGAAGCCTTTCTTTGTTCAATCATAGCAAATAAAGTTTATTTGATTTTAAAGTATGAAGAAAAGCTGGGAACTGTACATCTTTTAGAATTTCCATCATTGCTTACATTCTGAATAGAATAAATGACTGAAATCATGTTACCTTTATAGCATTCAGATGAAGTATGCCATATCATATATAATGTAAATTGTGTTTGAAATGACTTAACATTTAAGAGGATTCAACATCAATGTAATGTCAGAAGTAATGGAGTTCAGTTAGCTCACTTGGCTGGAAGGCTGGTTTGTGATGCAGAGTGACACCAGCTGTGTGGGTTCAATTCCTACACCTGCTGAGGTTACCATGAATGTTCAGGTTTTTCAACTTTGCCCCTTGCCTGAGGTGTGGTGAGCCTCCAGTTAAACTTACCACCAGTTGCCTCTCTCTGAGGGAACAGCCCTATGGTTTTCTGAGACTATGGCAAGTTTTTACCTTTAACTTCAGTAGAAATAGCTAAAGGTTTGGTTCTGAAAACTGGGGTAAGGCTGGCTAGTCTAATTGAAATGCTATCCAGTTCATAAATAACAGCATCAGATACTATAGTTGGAGAATTTGAACCAATAATTCATCAGTTATAACACATGTTGGAATTGTCCAAAAATATGATGAGGCCTTAACCAGTCATTTTTTCTCTTTTTAGAAGGTGCAACATGGGATAGAATGAAGTGTTGTAATTTGTTACGTTGATAGCTTTGTAATTGATACATTTTTCTAAATGCTTGCAAATATTATTCAGCATTAAATGAGCACTATTTCTGCTTGAAATTTTGGTTTTTCTACTGTTTTTTTCCTTTCCTCTCTCCCATCGCATGCATGACTTCAGATTTTGAAATCTAACAGGCAACTGGTAAGAGTTGACTGTTTTGGATTTTGTATTGTTTGTGGGGTGGGGCAAAATGTGATAAAAGGCAATACATTCTTCATATTTCTCAATTCATGGGGATACAATAGGGTTTAGTTTTCTAAAAATTACAAACATTCATTTTTTGTCATTCAGTATTGCAGTTAATTTGTACTTTGAAACTAGATCTTTGATTTCTTAGAATTATTTCCAATATGTGAATGAATGGAGTTCAAAAAAGTTGCATAAATCTGTTTTTGCACACATAATAGAAAGTGTAGTCTTTATTAATACTTTAATGAACAATGTAACAGGTTTTATCCTTAAATATATAACACTGAAACCTGTAAAAGTGCACTCATGCTAAAATAGTCTGTATAGCCTACTGTAGTTTAGAATGTGCTGGAATTATCCATTATTTTGTTAAATTAGAGGACCACTTAGTGCTGTACTTGACATTCAAAACAAGAGTAGTCATGTGAAACAAATACCTACTTGCATGCAAACATGTACATTTCAATCTGTTACTAATATGTAAAGGTAGTTCAATATAGCATAAATGTGATAATTTACAAATAGTATTACTTTCTAGTAGGTAAATTTAAGTTCTTAGTAAAACAAAAAACATCATTTCTGTGAGTACTGATCTGGAAATTATAGATAATTCTAGAATACTGAGAAAAGTAGCCTGGTTTTAAAATGATCTTTGTAAATAAGTATTACCATTGCTGCCATGAAATTGGTAGCCATTCCCGTTCTTGAAAAGCTAGTTGTCATAGGGTCTGTTTTCGTGTTGTATGACTCTTCGGTCCAACCAGTCTGTGCCGACCGTAATGCCAAACTGAACTAGTCCCACCTGCCTGCTCCTGGCCCATATCCCTATTCATGTACTTATCCAAATGTCTTTTAAACATTGTAGTTGTAGCCGCATCCACCACTTCTTCAGGAAGTTCATTTCCACATGCGAACCACCCTCTGTGGAAACAAAATAAAATTGCCTCATGCCTTTTTAAAATCTCTCTCCTCTCACCTTAAAAATATGCCTGCTAGTCTTGAAATCCCCCATCCTAGGAAAAAGACAACTACCATCAACTCTATTTATACCCATCATTATTTTATAAACTCCTATTAGGTCACCTCTCAACCTCCTACACTCCAGTGAGTTCCAGCCTTTCTTTATAACTCAAAACTTCCATACCTGGCAACATCCTGGTAACATCTCTTCTGAACTCTCTCCAGCTTGATAACATCCTTCCTATAACTGGGCAACCAGAATTGGACATAGTATTCCAGAAGAGGACTCGCCAGTTTCCTGTACAGCCTCCACATGACTTTCCAACTCCTATACTCAGTGGACTGAGCAATGAAGGCAAGCATGCCAAACACCTTTTTAACCACTCTGTCTATTTGTGACCTAAACCTCGAAGAATTATGTACCTGTGCCCCTAGGTCCCTCTGTTCTACAACAGTACCCAAGGCCCTACCATCAATTGTATAAGTCTTACCCTCATTTGTTGTACAAAAATGCAATACCTTGCATTTATCCAGATTGAACTCCATCTGCCTTTTTTCAGCCCATTGACCCATTTGATCAAGATCCCTTTGTAATCTTAGAAAATCTTCTTTGCTGTCTACTATGCCACCAATTTTGGTGTTGTCCACAAATGTACAAATCATGCCTTCTATATTCTTATCCAAATCATTTTGGTTTTTATTCAATAAAGATGATTCCTAGATCAAGATTCACCTACAAAAGGAAACATTTTTTCAACATCTACCCAGTTAGGCCCCCTCAGAATGTTGCATATTTCAACAAGATCACCCCTCATGCTTCTAGATAATGAACAAAAGGACTAACATATTTAGCTGTTCTTGATAACTCAACCCTTCCATCCCAGTGAGTCTCTTTTTGAACTGCCTCCAATGCAAGTGCGTCACTCTTTATATTAAAAAAATATGATTTAAGGGGATGAAAATTGTGTATAGTATTCCAGGGTGCAGCCTCAATTGTAACAAGGCTTCCCTATTTTTAAACTCCAACTTCCTAGCATGAAGGCCACAATTCTACTGGCCGTATAATTACTTGCTACCCCTCTAGGCTGACCTTTTGTATTTAGAGTCATAGAGATGTACAACACAGAAACAGACCCTTCATTCCAACTTGTCCATACTGAACAGATATCTTAGATTAATCTAGACCCATTTGCCAACATTTGGCCGGTATCCCTCTAAATCCTTCCTATTCATATATCCATCCAGATGCCTTTTAAATGTTGCATTTCTACCAGCCTTCACCACTTCCTCTGGTAGTTCATTCCATAGACATTACCCTTTAGGTCCCTTTTAAATCTTTCCGCTCTCACCTTAAACCTATGCCCTCTAATTTTGGACTTCCCTACCCTGAGGAAAAGATCTTGACTATTCACCATATCCATGCCCCTCATGATTTTATAAATCTTGAGAAGGTCACCCTTCAGCCTCTGATGCTCCAGGGAAAATTGCTCCAGCCTATTTGGCCTCTCCCTATAGTTCAAATCCTGGCAACATCCTTATAAATTTTTTCTGAACATTTTCAAGTTTCACAGCATCTTTCTTATCGGAGGGAGACCAGAATTGAATGCGGTATTCTAAAAGTGGCCAAACCAATGTCCTGTACAGCTGCAACGTGACCTCCCAACTCCTATACACAATGCAAGCATGCCAAATGCCTCCTTCAGTACCCTGTCTACCTGGAACTCCACTTTCGAGGAACTATGAACCTGTACTCCAAGGTCTGTTTGTTCGGCAACACTCCCCAGAACCTTACCATTAAATGTATAAGTTCTGCCGTGATTTGCCCTTCCAAAATGTACTGACTCACATTTATCTGGATTCAACTCCATCTGCCATTCCTTGGCCATCAGCCCATCTAATTGTGGTCCCGTTGTACCAAGAGGTAACTTTCTTCACTGTCCATGACACCACCAAACTTACTAACCATATCTCCTATATTTCCATCCAAATCATTTATATAAATGACAAAAAGCAGTGGACCCAACACCGATCCTTGCAGCACACTGCTGGTCACAGGCCTCCAGTTCAAAAACCAGCCCTCCACCACCATCCTCTGTCTCCTACCCTGGAGCTAATTTTGTATCCAAATTCATGCACAAGAACACCTAGATCCCTCTGTGCTGCATTTTTTTTTGGAGTTTCTCTCCATTTAAATAATATTCTGCCTTTTAATTCTTTCTACCAAAGTGACCTCACGTTTTCCTATATTGAACCCCATCTGCCAAGGCTCTACCCACTCATGCACCCAATATGTATCCCCTTGCAGATTCCTTTTGATTCACTTACAAAATGCCCTTCCAGCTACTTTTGTATAATTTGCAAATATGGACTCATTACACTCTACCCTCTTCTCCAACCTGAAAGAACTCATTAATCTAACACTGTCTTGTGTTAACCAATCCTCAGTCCATGCTGATACTTTACCCCAGTATCGTGAACTGTTATCTTGTGAAATAACCTTTTTACGTGACAACTAATCAAATACTTTCTGAAAATCCAAATGCACCATATTTGCCAGTTCTCCGTCATCAACTCTGCTTGTCATTATCCTCAAGAACTCTGTCAAATTCGTCAAAGATGATTTTTTTTCCTTTTACAAAGCCATGATGAAAGTTTGATTATATTAAGCTTTTCAAAATGTCCTGCTATTTCTTCCTTAAACTTCTTGAGTTTCTTTCAGGAGTTAGCCTGATCCCCAGCTGACAGCCACGCACAATGAATCTGAGTTCCTTTGACATGGTCTTCACCAAAAATGCCACATGTTTGCATAAACTCCTTAACTCATTCTGGATAAGCTAGATTCACCAATATTACCTTCATGTAGCAGAAGTAACTACAACAATTGTGTATTTGCTTATTCTCCAGCTCTGTACCCTGTCATTTTCTGCTTACTGTTTTATATCACGAGGCTCATCAATTTCCTCTGAGCTAGAATTGATCAGCTGTCCTTTTTGTACTTTCAACCAAGTTCAGCCTATCCAAAGAAGGTTTGGTTTCCAATCTAACTTTAAATTTTTGTTTCATTAGCATCTAGGAGGAACAATTTCGTTTCCCTTTTCAGTTACGGTCCATCTCAAAATAAATACAAGCTTTGAAACCACGGGATTCTAGTATAGTAGTGAAATGGCAGTCTTGGCTCTAATGAGTCGCACTTTGAATCCCAAGTAAAGATGCTGTGAGACTTAGTGATGAATTTACACTTAATGATGTGCCCCTTGACATGGCTGGATAGGGTTAAACAGTGATAGTCCCATATTATCTCTTTAAAATTCTGTAATAGCATGCAAGCATCAGTAACATTGCCAACATTTTTAATTAACCATCCCTAATTGCCCTTAAGGTATTGTTGAATCACCTTTTTGAACTGCTGCAGTCAATTGGTGTAGGAATACCCACAGTACTGTTAAGAACATTATTCCAGGGTTTTGACCACATGACTTGAAGAAACAATAATACAATTCCAAGTCAGGATGGTGTATGGCTTGGAGGGAAGTTTGCAGATGATATCCCCATGCATCCGTTACCCTTGTTCTTCTGGGCAAATGTGACTATAGGTTTGGAAGGTTTTGTTGAACGAGGCTTAGCAATTTGTTTGAAGACACAAGATTTTAAGCCACGTCATAAAACTAGAATATTTGAATCTTTATGCATGTATATTAATGAAATTATAAGAACTTGCATCTGCTTTTCAAACACAGTAAGTGACAGAATTAATTAATAAATTAATATACCAGCTACACCAGACTTTGATCAATTTATGTTCAGGAAAATTCGATTCATATCTGTGATCATAAACTGGAATTGACATGAAGCATTCTTAAACAAGTTACCTTGCACTGCTTGACTAAATATTTACATTTAATTGTGATCACAGCGAGTATTAACTTTTATGTTTTGAGGTTTAAGAAACACTATGCAGCCTTCCTTTAAGGTTCAAGTGTTTGAAAACGTTTAGCTGCCCATTTGTCTGTGATGTGAAACTTTTTATTGGCTCTGTTTTACACTTGAGTAGAACTTTGTGGGTATATTCAAACGCGCATAAGTCCTGCTTTTCCTGAAAGCAACGTACACATAGTTTTATACTTTTATGCTATTGACTCAAGCTGATCTCCATGCAGGCATCAGGATTGAACCAAGCTATTAGTCTTCAATTTGATGAGAATTTGTAATCGTTACCTACAAAAGTGATTTTAGTTTACTTGAACAAATGAGTAAATTAGGCTATTTAGATTGCTATCCCATCTGTTTAATATTATAATTATTGAAATTTACAGAGGAGAGATTTCTTGCTTTCTAGCAAAGGTAATACTTCATCAATTACTTCACTTTCTCAGTCATTAATATGCATTCTTTGTGAGGATTGTAGAAGATCAGAACTTGCGTTTTAACTTGTTTCTTCTTGCATTTAGATGTCTGGAAACTGGACATTCGGCTTTCTGGTTTTTACAGTGATGTTTATCACGGTTACTTTAAAGGTAAGTGCGTGGTATTAAAGCTGAGGGCCTAAACAATACGGGGAAGTTTATCGAAGTGCGTTTGTGCCAATATACACTTTTCCGTGCTAATTTCATTTCGTGACACAAATTGTATAAATCAGTACTGATAAGGGGCATCATAAAATTAAGAGTTATTATTAGATTTTGAAGGCTATCTTTTTGTTGGCTCTGCATTATGTGAAAAATATAAAAATTTGTATCGCTGAGTAAAAGCTAATTCAAGCAAAAATGTTACTTTGGCCTGTTCATGTACTGTGAATCCTTTCAGCCTCGCCAGTCTCTTTTTTTTTTATATACTCCATACAGTCTCCTTGCAATGCATCTATCTTATTTCAGCCTTTCACCATATTGTTCTATTCCGTTTTTCATTGATAAGCTCATCTAGTTTCTATTTAAAAGCACCAAATGTTTTTTGCAATCAATTCCTGACGTTGTGTTCCACATTCTAACAAATAGCATAAAACTACGTAAAATAGAGCCAACTAATTTCGTGTGTGTGTGTATGTGTATATCACCCTTTGAATTGTTTATTTTCATACAATGTCAAATGATATATTACTTTATATAGAATGGGAGAATCATACCATGTTCTAGCGTTACACTGTTAATGTGAAGTGGTGTCATTTTTACAGCCACAAATTCAAACTGTTGAGTAAGCATATCCTTGAGTCATGTTGTACTTAATTGCTGTTTGCTTAAGAGAGCTTACAAATTTTGGTACTTTCAACATCCTGAATCCAATAACAATCATAGTGAATATACATCTAAGAGCAAAAAAATCTAAGAATTCAGCGAGTCAAAATGGATTGTTTACATTAAAATTAAATACATTTTTATTTCTTTGCTAACTATTTTCTCTTAAAGATCTGGAGTTTGAAATCTCTTTATTCCCAGCTGAGACCAGCTGACTCTCGACTTCAAAGTACAATTATAAACTGAATGGTTCCTCAGCAGTACACCACAAACTAAAATATACAGCAGCAATCTAAGAGCATTTTAATTTTGTTGGTTTAATTTACTGAATTTGCAAATGTTTGGTTATGAGAGATACTAAGCTTGTACCTATTTAGCAAGGACTTGCCTTGTACATATCATTTAAGACCATAACATATAGGAGCAGAATCAGGCCATTTGGCCCAATGGTCTGCTCCAGCATTCGATCATGGCTGATATATTTCTCAACCCCATTCTTCTGCCTTCTCCCCAAAACGCTTGATCCCCTTTATTAATCAAAAACCTATCTATCTTTGTCCTCAATACTCAATGACTTGAGGTCCACAGCCTTCATAAGAGAGTTCCACAGATTCACCACCCTCTGGCTGAAGAAATCCTTCCTCATCTCGGTCCTGAACGGTCGTCCCTTCACTGAGGCTGTCTCCTCTGTCCTAGTCTCTCCTACTAGTGGAAACATCTTCTCCATATCCCCTCTATCCAGGCCTGTCCGTATTGTGTAAGTTTCACTCCGATCATCCGAATCCTTCTAAACTCTGACTACAGATCCAGAGTCCTCAACTGCTCCTCGTATGACAAGCACTTCATCTCTGGGATCATTATGTAAACTTCTGTTGGACCCCCTCCAATGGCAGCACATCCTTCCTTAGATACGGTGTTCAAAAATGCTCAGTATTCCAAACATGGTCTGATCAGAGCCTTCTACAGCTTCAGCAGTACGTTGCTGCTCTTCTGTTCTCAGCCTCTTGAAATGAAATCTAACATTGCATTTGCTTTCCTAATTGACAACTGAACCTGCATGTTAACTTTGAGAGAATCCTGGAACTAGGACACCCAAGTCCCTTTGTGCCTTAGATGTATGAAGCTTTTCCACGTTTAGAAAATAGTGCATACCTCTATTCTTCCTACGAAAGTGTGTAACCTCATACTTTTCCATATTGTATTCCATCTTCCACTTCTTTGCCCAATTTCCTAGCCTGTCCAAGTACTCCTGCAGCCCCCTGCTTCATAAACACTAACTATTCCCATCACCTACTTTTGTCATCTGCAAACTTAGCAATAATGCCCTCAGTTCTTCTAGATCAGTAATGTATAAATGAAGGTTTTCTCTCCTGTTATGGGAACAGGAAATTAGGAAAACCCTTTTTCACTCTGATCTAATTCATATGCTCCAAGAATTTGTCCACCTTTGATCTAAAGTATAATTATCCTTTAGATTTATGGCCCTGACATTGAAATTTCTCTGGGTACATTTCAAGATCACCAGCTATCTGTGGAAGATCCTTTATTTTTTTAAATTCATTCAGTTAGCATTTATTGCCCATTCTTAATCACCCTTGGAACTGAATGGCTAGCAAGGGCTATTTCAGAGGGCATTTAAAAGTCAACTATTTTGGTGGGAGTCTGGAGTCATATGTAGGCAGACTAGGTAAGGATGGGATTTTCTTTCCTAAAGGGAATTAACGAACAAGATGGGCTTTTACATCATTTGATAATGGGTGACCATGCAACATTAAACTAGATTTTTTTTAATTCCAGGTTTTTATTGAATTCATATTTCACAATCTGCAGCTTGTCCTTAGAACATTAAGCTGGGACTATAGATCCCCCAGTGTTTTGTCTCAGGCTCTTATTGATTCATTGAATATTTGGGATCTAACGCATACCTCTTCACTGAATCATCTGCTCAGGAGCTGTTTTAAAACCCTTTGATCTGTATGCACTAAAGAATCTTTAACATGAAATGTAGTTGTACAATTTTTGAAAATAAGATATGGTCTCTTGTGGGTAAATTTGTTTTAATTTCGTTACGTTGGCACTGTTAACTATTTGCCCTTTGTAGAGTGGCATTACAAGTAACGGTAAATAAAAATTTCTTGAAGATCCTGAAATAATCACCTCTACATGCAAAGTGAAAACCTCATAATTAAACTATTAAAAAATGAATGTTGTTTTCCATCATTAATTGTTCACTTGACTGGTTCATAATGTTGACAATGACTTGATTTCATTTGAAGTTACTAACATAGAATTTTAAGCTCAAGACAACAAAGTTTTTAATTGGAATTTCTTTTAAACCATTTTATTTCATGCCTGGCGTGTTTGCTGTTTGCCCTGTAATCCTTTTAAAAAATTAAGCCTGTGTTTTCCTTTTCACCCCATCTTCTATTTTCAAAACAAAAATCAGCTTGGAATTGAGACACACTACTGGACCTGGATAAATCACTTTGTTACGTGGGGTTCAATAATTTTTTACTTCGGATTCTCTTTGCTTTATGGAGCAATAATTTGGTGAGTAGTGATTTGTACTGACTGACAGAATATTTGAATATCTGTGTTCCATTGTGAAAAGTGCAACTAGATATTTCAATAAATTGAATGTAAATATTTAATGTTATTGGAATATAGAAACAAGATTAGGCTATTCACTCCTTGAGCCATTTCTGCCAAATCAGTCAGATTGCTGATCTGTGGTCTAATACAGTGTAATTGCCTTTAGTCCATATCCCTTAATAGCCCTGTTCAGCAAAAAACAAATTACCTCACACTTAAAAAATCAACTGCCATTTGTGGAAGATGGTTTCAAATCTCTGCCACCCTTTGTGTGTAGAAGTGCTTTCTAACATCTTTCCTGAATGGTCTGGCCCACATTTACGGACTATGTGCCTGGTTCTAGAATCTCCAACAAGTGAAAATAGTTCATCTTTATCTACTCTGTCATTTCCTGCTATTATCTTGAAGACTTTCATCAGATCACTTCTTAACCACCTCAATTCTAGAGATAGCAGGCCTAATTCGTATTATCTCTCCTCAAAATTTTAAACCTGGGAATCCAGGTGTCATCCTTGGAAAACTATTGAAGGGTTACACCAATCAGTCACGTAATTATTGATCTTGTATGTTAGTTTATTTCAATTCTGTTTTTTTTTGTCTGACCATTCATCAGCTCTTTTCAATGGCTGAATACAATACTCACAAAAAAAATGTGGACTTTGTTTTAGAACCAAATTTTTTAACATTCAATATTATAGTACTGTAAAACAAAATTGAAGCAAAAGTTTGAAAATGAAGAAAGATGGTGTGAATGTAAAGCAATCTCTAAATGAAGAATAGCATAGTGATTTAAATTGTTACTTCATGTCCAATGGCTTGATCAGTAATCAGCCCAGTTAAGGGAAAGAAGCCTTTCCTTTGTGCTGCTTGTAATGATTTTTTTGGAAATTAATTCCAGTCATCTCGATCCAATCGTGACCAGTCGGAGTAAAGTCATGTCGTAAGTAGAATCAATGAAGAGCTGAACCTCCAGCCATGGGCTCTTCCTCCTGCCATTTACTGTTCATAGACTGAGTGTATGAGCAACAGATGAGAGAGAAACAGTCTATTGTAGGTGAATTGAGCAGTTGCCTGACCAAGGATTTTCAAGAACAGTTGTTGGAGATGATGAGTAAACTGTGCTCCTCCAAATTTGAAATGTTCAGTGGAATCCCATCTACGCCTGTGGCTTTTCCATTCATCACGTCTAATGGCACCTTCAACTTCTACCACACGAGGTGGGATTCCAAGATCATCTTTGGAGAATTGGAGGATTTCCTCAAGCACAACCTGTACAATTGTATCACTGTTTAAGAGTTCATTAACGTGTTCTGTTCATCAGAGGCTAATGTTTTATTCTCTTTCTGTCGAAAGGATTCCATCCTAACTGCACACCAGTTTGAAGCCAGAGGTGCTAGGCCCATTTATTGCCTTGGTTGCACTGAAGAAGCCCCAGATGTTGGGCCTGTTGACAGAGTTACAGCTGCTTAGCTTTCTCAGTCCGTCGATGGTTCTTAATTTCCCTAATTCTTCTTTGTAACTCTGCCTTTTGCTGTTCGATGAGTTCTCCTCTTTGCCATGCTAGTGATAGAGTTTTATCAGGCATGGAGATCTTTCTTCCTGTTCTTGATGACATCTTGGATGATGTGGTCATTCTCATCAAACCAGCCTTGGTGTTTCTTGGTCTTGTAGCTGATGATTTTTTCACAGCATTATATGATGTTGAAGACCCCAAGAAGGATAATTTTATCTTCTTTCCTGTAATTATGGTGTCCAGGATAGAGTATAAGCCTTCTTTGGACTTGTTTATGTAATCGAGGGTTGAGGCATAATAACTCACGACCATTCCCTGATTGTTCTTGACAAGTTGCAATTTGAGAGTAACAAGGTGATCTTTGATGCCAGTAGGGAGCTTGGAGTTGGTTGATGAGTTTGTTCTTGATGGCAGGTCTAATGCTATGCATACTGGGTTGGTCTTGGTGTTTTCCACTTCAGTAGGAGGTGTAACTACCACTACCTTCCTAAGCTGCCCTTCACCTGCTTTTCAAGTCTGCTGCAAGGCAGCGATATCTCTGAAATGCCTAAGTTAATGGTTGACAAGGTCAGTTCATTGTTCCAAACAATATTCTGCTCCGAGATTTGAGTTTGACTTTAGTTTTCAGACCACAGGTAGATGACCCCACTGGTTGTAGTTTTCTAGCCAGGTTGGTGACGGAACAGACTAATTTTAGAGCACATTTTCTAGCCCCTTCCCCATGCAAGGTGATCAGAGTGGATCCTCAAGAGGGCTGCTCTGTCATGAAGAAAACTACTGAAATGATCTCCTGTTCTTCTTTCTCGTACAAAGTGATTTAAGTCAAACTCCACTGCTTATGTGCCAGTCTGAAGCTAAGAGACTGCCCAATCTCTCAATCCTGTCCCATCACCTCTAGCCGCAGGACCTGTGTTAGTGTGGGGGTTGGGTTGGATTTTCTCTAGGTGGCTGCCATGTGCGGGACACCTTCTAACGTGGGGAAGAAAGAACCAAAGAACTGCCGATGTTGGAAGCCAGAAAGAAAAACGGAAATTGCTGGAAAAACTCAGCAAGTCTGACAGTATCTGTGGAGACAAAGCGGAGTTAACATTTTGGGTCCAGAAGGGATCTTAAGAAGGGTCAATGGTGTGTTGTTCCCATGTATCTGTTGCCCTGGTCCATCTAGATGATAGTGGTCATAGGTTTGGAAGGTGCTATTTAAGGAGTCTTAGTGAATTTCTGCACTGCATCTTGTAGTTAGTACACACTGATGCTACTGTGACTAGGTGGTGGAAGGAGTAAACGTTTTGTGGGTGTGGTGCCAATTAAACAAGCTGCTTTGTCCTGGATGGTGTCAAGCTTCTTCAATATTGTTAGAGCTGCTGTCATCCAGGCAACTGGGGAGTAGTTCATTACACTCCTGACTTGTGCCTTGAAGATAGTGGGGAGGCTTTGTAGAGTCAGGAGGTGAGTTACTCATTGCAGAATTCCTAGCCTCTGCATAATCTTGTCCCTTCTTCTGAAGAAGGGTCCAGACCCAAAACGTCAGCTTTCCTGCTCCTCTGATGCTGCTTAGCCTGCTGTGTTCATCCAGCTCTACACCTGGCTATCTCAGATTCTCCAACATCGGCAGTTCCCACTATCTCTGAACTCTATAAGGCTAGTTCAATTCAGTTTCTGATCAATGATAACCTGCAGGAAATTGATCACAGGGGGTCCATAAATAATAATCCCATTGAATGTCAAGGAATGACAGTTACATTCTCCCTTGTTGCTTTCTATGATTTGAAGTCCAAAGTGAAATGCAAATGTTATGTTCGCTTTGTTTTAAATATATTAGTTTCATTTAAGAGTGACATTACACTTAACTTGCCTAAGTATAATATGCTACATACAATTATGTAGTTCATTCATATGTGTAACTATTTTGATTTCAAATGTCATTATGTATCCAGATTTAAAGTACTTACTTTTTCTGTTCATTTTAGGCTATATTTTTTCCATCTGTCTGTTCTGAGTCCACAATATCTCATAGTTGAGATATGGTGTAATGAATGCCCATTCAAAAATTAATTTTGTTCTCTAATTCTACTTACTTGCATAAAGTCAGAATCCTACAGCACAGAGTCAGGCCCTTTGACCCAGACCAGTTCATGCCGACCAAAATATCCATCCATGCTAACCCCGTTTCCCTGCACTTGGCCCATATCCTTCTGAACCTTTTCTATCCACATATTCATCCGAATGCCTTTTAACTGTTGTTAATGTACCCGCCTCAACCACTTCCGCTGGCAGCTCACTCCATATGCGTACCACCTTCTGTGTTTGAAAAAAAAAGTTGCCCCTTAGATTCCTGTGTATTCTTCCCCCTGTTACCTTAAACTGATTCCCTCCAGTCCTCGATTCTCCAACCCTGGGAAAAAGACTGAGTGCATTCACCCTATCCATGTCTCTCATAATCTTATACTCTTATATAAGATCCCCCCTTCAGTCTCCTTCGCTCTAAAGAAAAAAGTCCTAGCTTGTTAAGATTTGTTGCTCGGCTTGTGGGTGAGGTTATTGACTTGCTCACTGAGCTGGCTTGTTCTCGTTCTTGTTCAGATGTTTTGTCACCATGCTAGGTAGCATCATCAGTGAGGCCTCCGATGAAGCAATGTTGTTCCATTCCACTTGGAATTTATACTATTCGGTCTGTTATAGTGAATTGTGTCATTTCCAGTATTGTTTTGTATGGGTTTATATATGGGGTCCAATTCTATTTGTTTGCATTATGGATTGAGAACCATGCCTCTAGGAATTCCCGTGCATGTCTGTGTTTGGCTTGGGCTACTATGGTTACATTGTCCCAGTTAAACTGATGGCCTTTGTTGTCGGAGTGTACTGATATTACGGAAAGTTCATCATGTCGTTTTGCTGCTAGCTGATGTTAGTGTATTCTGATGGCTAGTTTCCTTCATGTCTGTCCGATGTAATGTTTGTGGCAGTCATTGGATGGTATTTTGTAGACTACATTGGTTCTGCACATTGTGGGAATGGGGTCTTTAATCCTTGTGAGTGTTTGTCGTAGAGAGGCTGTGGGCTTGTATGGTATCACGATTCCTAGTGGTCGAAGGAGTCTTGTTGTCAATTCTGATATGTTCTTGATGTAGGGCAATGTGGCCAGTGTGTTAAGGCATACTGTGTCCTTTTATTCTCTATTTAGTAGGCACCTGCGGATGAAGTTGTAGGGATATCCGTTTATACCAAAAATTTTGTATAGGTCCTCTTCCTCTTTCCCAGTGTAGTTCTGGCGTGATGCAGTGAGTGGTGGCCCATTTAAGTAGTGGCCTAACACAGCTTTGTTTGTGGATGTTGGGGTGTTTGCTGTGGAAATTGAGGATTTGGTCAGTGTGGGTTTCTTTCCTGTATACCGAGGTTTGGAAGTCCCCATTGGTCACATGTTCAACTCTGACATCCAGAAACAGTAGCTGATTGTTGTTTTCCTTTTCTCTCCTGAATTTAATCCTGGCGAATATGTTATTGATGAGGTGGTGGGTCTCTTCCTGTAGCAAGATGACCAAAACTGAACACAATACTCCAAGCGCAGCCTCACCAAAGTCCTGTACAACTGCAACGTAACTTCGAACTTCTGTACTCAATACCCTGACTGATGAAGGCCAGTGTGCCAAACGCCACCTTCACTGCCCTGTCTACCTGTGACTCCACTTTCAGAGAACCGTGCACCTGCATTCCAAGGTCCACCTTTTCCACTACACTCCTCCCATTCACCATGAAACTCCGACCTTGATTTGCCTTTCCAAAATGCAGCACCTCACACTTATCTATTATTGTATGTCCAGAACAATTGATAATTTGTACATAGCTACAGTGGTCGAATAACTGTTAGGCCATGTATGTTCTTAACAAACAATGAATTATGTAAAAATAACGAGTCCTAGACCAAAAATAAAAGTTTGGATTGGATTATCCTATTAAGAACTGGGTAACATAAAATGGGAACAGATGCTGTCAGGGAAGAGCACTATAGAAATGTGGAGAGATAGTAGGAACTGCAGATGCTGGAGAATCTGAGATAACAAGGTGTAGAGCTGGATGAACACAGCAGGCCAAGCAGCATCATAGGAGCCCTCGGTGGTCGAGAACGCCCTCCACCATGTCTCCCGCATTTCCCGCAACTCATCCCTCACACCCCGTCCCCGCAATAACAACCAAAAAAGAATCCCCCTCGTCCTCACATACCACCCCACCAACCTCCGGATCCAACGCATCATCCTCCGACACTTCCACCATCTGCAATCCGACCCCACCACCAAAGACATTTTTCCCTCCCCACCCTTCTCTGCTTTCCGGAGGGACCACTCTCTCCGTGACTCCCTTGTCCGCTCCACACTCCCCTCCAGCCCCACCACACCCGGCACTTTTCCCTGCAACCGCAGGAAGTGCTACACCTGCCCCCACACCTCCTCCCTCACCCCCATCCCAGGCCCCAAGAAGACTTTCCACATCAAGCAGATGTTCACCTGCACATCTGCCAATGTGGTATACTACATCCGCTGTACCCGGTGTGGCCTCCTCTACATCAGGGAAACCAAGCGGAGGCTCGGGGACCGCTTTGCAGAACACCTACGCTCGGTTTGCAATAAAGAACTGCACCTCCCAGTTGCAAACCATTTCAACTCCCCCTCCCATTCCTCAGACGACATGTCCATCCTGGGCCTCCTGCAGTGCCACAGTGATGCCACCCGAAGGTTGCAGGAACAGCAACTCATATTCCGCTTGGGAACCCTGCAGCCCAATGGTATCAATGTGGATTTCACAAGCTTCAAAATCTCCCCTCCCCCTACCGCATCCCAAAACCAGTCCAGCTCGTCCCCGCCTCCCTCACCTGTTCTTCCTCCCACCTAACCCCATCTCCTACCTACTAACCTCACGCTGCCCCCTTGACCTGTCCGTCCTCCCTGGACTGACCTATCCCCTCCCTAACTCCCCACCTAAACTCACCTTTACTGGCTCCATCCCCGCCTCTTTGACCTGTCTGTTTCCTCTCCAGCTATCTTCTCCTCATCCATCTTCTCCTCTATCCATCTTCTATCCGCCTCCCCCTCTCTCCCTATTTATTTCAGAACCCCCCTTTTTCCCCCCCCCCCCCCCCTCCTCCTATGATGCTGCTTGGCCTGCTGTGTTCATCCGGCTCTACACCTTGTTACCTCTATTATAGAAATGTGGAGATTGTTTAAGGAATGCATACTGCGTGTGCTCGATATGTTTGTCCCTAGCAGGCAGGGAAGATGCGGTCAAGTGAGGGAGCCTTGGTTCTCGAGAGAGGTCAAACGACTAGTTAAGAGGAAGAAGGATGCTTATATAAGGTTTAGGAAACAAGGATCAGAAAAGGCTGTAGAGGGATACAAGTTATCCAGGAAGCAGCTGAAGAAAGGGCTTAGGAGATCTATAAGGGGGCATGAGAAAACCTTGGCAGGTAGGATCAAGGAAAACTCCAAGGCTTTTTACACGTGCGTGAGGAATAAGAGAATGACCGGAGAAAGGGTAGGGCCAATCAAGGATTGTAAAGAGAATTTGTGCACGGAGCCTAAAGAGATAGGAGAGGTCCTTAATGAATACTTTTCTTCGGTATTCACAACTGAGAGGGACCTAGTTGTAGGGGAGGACAGTGTTAAACAGGCTGGTAGGCTAGAGGAGGTCGATGTTAGTAAGGAAGTTGTATTAGGAATTTTGAGGAAGTTGAAGATAGATAAATCCCCCGGGCCTGATGAGATTTATCCAAGGATTTTATGGAAAGCGAGGGAAGAGATCGCAGGGCCTTTGGTGATGATCTTTTCGTCCTCATTGTCCACGGGTATAGTGCCGGAAGATTGGAGAGTGGCAAATGTCATTCCCTTGTTCAAAAAAGGGAATAGGGATAACCCTGAAAATTACAGGCCAGTTAGTCTTATGTCAGTAGTGGGCAAATTATTGGAAAGGGCTCTAAGAGATAGGATTTATGATCACTTGGAAAGGCACAGTTTGATTCGTGATAGTCAGCATGGATTTGTGAGGGGTAGATCATGCCTCACAAACCTTATTGAATTCTTTGAAGAGGTGACCAAACACGTGGATGAAGGTAGAGCAGTGGATGTGGTATACATGGATTTAAGTAAGGCGTTTAATAAGGTTCCCCATGGTAGGCTCATGCAGAGAGTAAGGAGGCATGGGATAGGGGGAAATGTGTTAGATTGGATTCAGAATTGGCTGACCCTTAGAAGACAAAGGGTGGTAGTGGACGGAAAATATTCAACATGGTGCTCAGTTACAAGTGGTATGCCACAAGGATCAGTTCTGGGTCCTCTTCTATTTGTGATTTTTGTAAATGATTTGGATGTGGGAGTGGAAGGGTGGATTAAGGCAGACGATACGAAGGTGGGTTGCGTTGTGGATAATGTGGAGGGCTGTTCTAGGTTACAAAGGGACATTGATAGGATGCAGAGCTGGGCTGAGAAGTGGCAAATGGAGTTTAACCCTGAAAAGTGTGAGGTGATTCATTTTGGAAGGACAAATTTGAAAGCAGAATATAGGGGTTAACGAAAAGATTCTTGGCAGTGTGGAGGAGCAGAGGGATCTTGGGGTTCATGTCCACAGTTCCCTGAAAGCTGCCACCTAGGTTGATAGAGTTGTTAAGAAGGCGGATGGTGTGTTAGCTTTCTTTAGTAGACTGATTGAGTTCAAGTGCCGTGAAGTTATGCTCCAGCTACACAAAAGCCTGGTTCGGCCATCTCTGGAGTATTGTGTCCAGTTCTGGTCGCCTCATTACAAGAAAGATGTGGAAGCGTTGGAAAAGGTGCAGAGGAGATTTACCAGGATGTTGCCTGGGATGAAGGGAAGGTCTTAGGAGGAAAGGTTGAGAGAGCTAGGGCTTTTCTCTTGAGAACGATGAAGGATGAGAGGTGACTTGATAGAGGTGTACAAAATGATCAGAGCTATAGATAGAGTGGGCAGCCAGAGACTTTTTCCTAGGGTGGAGATAGCTATTACGAGGGGGCATAGTTTTAAAGTGAGTGGAGGTAGATGTAGAGGAGACGTCAGAGGTAGGTTCTTTACTCAGAGTGTGATCGGGGCGTGGAATGCATTGCTGGAGAGGGTAGTGGAGTCGGCCTCATTAGGGGCATTTAAGCGGCTATTAGATAGGCATATGGATGATAGTATAAGGTAGGGGTGGAGGTTAGATTGACCTTATGTTTAGGGTAAAAGTTCGGCACAACATCGTGGGCCGAAGGGCCTGTACTGTGCTGTACTGTTCTATGTTCTAATATGAAACTGTTATCATTATGCTTTCATAGATGCATATTAAAGTTTTGAATGTGTTGTACAAACATCTTGTTATGTGACTCTTGTCTAAATTAAGTTTATGTATTTGGGATTCATCGCAGAGAGATATACTTACTTGAAGAAAATAGTATGGGAGTAAAGACGAGCTTCATCCAAATGTGGAGTAGCAATATGTGCTTACCATATGTTCAATTAATCTCCAATCTCCTCCTTTACAGGCCATTTTTGCAGTCACAAGACATGTACTGCGTCTTCGTACACCTGTTGTCCAGTGCTTCAGCCTGGCTTGGCATCATTGTTATAGTGGTTGCTTGCTTATTCCCTGATGTCCTAAGGAAAGTATTCTGGAGGCATGCACGACCTACCTTGACACAAAGATCACAGGTAAGCGTTGAATTGAGAAGAGCACATTTAAATGCATTGTGATTTTTTTTTTTGAAGTTTACATTTTTATGCATGTTTGCGGAAAAATAATCCAGTTCCATTATATTTGGTATTTTAGTTTATTACCATTTTCCATGAGTTTTATAGACGCAAGATGGTATAAGCTCACAGTTCATATTAGTTGGCTACCATATAGTGATGGTGTTCTGTATATTTTTTACTGCTGTATAAAAGTACAGTACAATTTGCACAATGTTAGATAAGAGTTGTCAGTGGGTTTATCTTTCACATGCATAACACTCTTTCTCAATTATTACAGTACGCAGGTGATAATCTGTGTAGCTAGTTAACAAGTTGTGACTTGATTTGTGCATTGGATTAAATAAAATATCATACAGGAAGTAGTGGTGAGCCACCATCAAAATGGAAAGTGAAATGAAATGTGAATATTTATTGGTTAAACATTTAAAACGAAAACCTAAATATGTCAGCATAATGTGAAAGTTGAGGCATTAACCTCAATGTAAACTTTGGTCCATGTAATTAACAATCAGTTATCTATGTATGTATGTAATGTGTCAAGAGTAAGAGCACAAGTATCTTCAAAATCTAAATGTTTACCTTGCCATGATAGGTTGATTGCCTGATTGTTCATTTTTCAACATATTGAGTTGTCATCATGCTACTTATCACCATAAATATGGAACCAAAGCAGACCGTGATTAGTAGTTCATAGATGCACGCATCCTAAAAACTAAAAGGCTATTCTGATTTAATGTTTACATGATAGGTAGCATAGTAAACAGTATGCTTTTATTACAGCAAAAGTACAGTATGCTTTTACAGCATGCAAAAAGTGTTTTTTTCTTAAAATGAGATTTTGCTTTTTCATTTCAGTTAGCACTGCACATTTATCAATACACCAGTTGCAAAAGAATAGTGCTCAATATTCACAAGTTTCAAACAACAGACTAAATTTCAAATTAATGAATCTTTCCTTCATTGCATATTTTAGCAGAAACCTAGAATGTGCTGGAAAGATTACACAAAATCCACTGCAGTTAACACTTGGACAGCAGGTCTCAGGCTGAAAAGTGACAATGAACATTAGTGCTGGCAACAACTTTCCAACAAGAGAGAATCTAACCATCTCACCTTGACATCCAGCTCACAATTAACAAGGCAGGTGTCAAGAGTGTGATGGAATACTCTATACTTGTTTGAATGAGGGCAGCTCCAACAATGGGTCAATAGAGTCAATACAATAAAAGACAAAACCCCCTTGATGGGAATACCATCACCAACCTATGCACGTATGTCCTCCACTGACTGATGTAAGCAAGTTCCGCTCCAAGTGAAATACCACCCTGACTTGGAACTATATCGCAATTCCTTCACTGTCACTAGGTCAGAATCCTGGAACTACTTTCTCACTGTGTGTACAGCTACACCACATGAGCAGCATTGATTAAAGAAGGCAGCTCATCACCACTTTTTCGGGGCCGTTAATGTTGGGCAATAGATTGTGGCCTCACCAACAACACCGACATCCCAAGGACAAAGAAAATCACAAGGAATTGGCTGAAGTGTGCATTGAGGAATTTCTATTTGATGTTGACTAGGTTGAATAGTGAATAAAAACAAGCTCATGTTGAATCCACATTCATAAAAATTCTGCTCTTTGTGCTAAAGTTCAACCTAAATGGGGACCTTAGATTTGCTGGTTGTATGGTATTTACTGACTCAGTGAACATAAGGCATAGGAGCACAAGTAGGCCATTTGGTCCATTCCATCTGCTAAGATTTTGCCCACTCACTTATTTAACTGTCTCTATAGACTGTGTTAATTTCGCCACTTCTCTTCACATCTATTTTTGTGTTATCTGCAAACTTGGCAATAGTATCTTCATTCTGCTCATTCAAGTTATTAATATCTATTGCAAATAATGTAGCTCCAGCCATGATCCCTGTGGCACTCTACCAGTTATACGTTGTCATCATGAAAATACCTCCGTTATCCCAACCCTATCTTGTCTTCCTTAACCAGTCCTCTATCTGTGCTGATGTACTACCCCAAACTCTTGTCTCACTAAATTACCTTTTGTTTGGTCCCTTATTGAATGCCTCTTGGAAATCCAAATACATTAGATCTTCTGGTTTCTTTTTGTCTATCCTGCTTGTTGCCAGCTCAAAGAATTTGGATAAATTTGTCAGGTATGATTTTTGCCTCATGAAGCCATATTGACTCTGTTTTGTGATATTATGTATTTCTAAATGCTTTAGCATTGCATCCTTTAGTCTCATTAATTTCCCTAGCACCACTTCTTGTGTGACAGTTATTGTCGTTATTTCCTGTTCTCTGCCCTGCTCTCCTTTGCCTCTTGAATTAATATTTTTGGAATTCCCTAAGTGTCTTCTACCGTGAAGATTGATGCAAAATGTTTAACTCTTCTGCCATTTCTTGGTTCCCTAGCTTCATTCTCAAAGGGACCTATTTTCACTTAGGACCTCTCTCTTCCTTTTTATATGTTCCAAGAAGCTTTTACTGTACATTTTGGTATTATTTGCTCGTTTGCCCTCCTATTTTAATTAAGAAAGAAAGGCAAAGCTGTTTACAACTGACATGAGAAGGAATTTCTTTGCTTAAATGTTGGTATGTCTTCAGAATTCTCCATCCCGGAGAACTGTGGAAGCTCAGTCACTGAGTATGTTCTAGATAGAAATCAATAGATTTCTGGATACTAATGACATCAGGGTATATGGGAATAGTGGTGAAAAATTGTGTAGAAGTAGCCATTATCTGTTTGAATGCGGACGAGACTCGACAGGCTGAATAGCTAACTCCTGCTTCATATTAATTTCTTAAAAGTCTGCGTTTATTAACTGCCCAATTATAAGAGAGTTCATGACATTTGTTTACATTTTGCTTTTTGTTTTCCTTATTCTTGAGCAAATTTCCATGATGCACTAAGCATGATTTTCGGAGCGTCGCAATCTTAAAAATTAAATATCCATCTGCATTGTCTCAATTGTCAGATCAGGGTCTCTTGGGGTGAAGTTAAGAAACAGTTCCAATTGCAAAGAGTGGTAGAAATTCAGAAATGTCTTTTACAAGTGACAGTTTGCGCTGGTCCAACTGTTTATTGTAGATCTGAAATAAATACCTGTTAACCAAATGTATTAAGGGAAGTGAAGCAAAGGCAAATATCTGGAGCTGGATCACAGGTCAACCGGATCGGTGAAATGCCAGAAAAGGCTCAAAGACGAAACGGCCTGCTTTTGATCTGATGTTCTTCCTTATAAGTTCATTTTCTTTCTGAATATTGAATAAAGCTCCATTTTCATGACTTTGACTGAGACCAATTGAAACTAATGTAAAATCAAAGAATCATACAGCCAAGAAAGAAGCCATTCACCCTCTCTTGCCTATACTGACACTTTAAAGGAATAATCAGTTTAGTGTAACAGTAGCTTTATCCCCATTTAATTCATTAATTAAAATTAAATTCAAATTAATTAAAAGAAATGAAACTATTAAATGTCCAATTGTGTTTTTGAACATTCCATTGAATCTGTTATATGATTTGTTATCAGATCCATTCTGGACCTCAAACATTTCTCCTTATTTCTTTTGTCACCTGTTTTTAATCTATTACATCTGGTTAACAACTCTTGTGCCAAAGGAAACCGTTGCTTCCTTCTTTAAAACTCATCGATCGCTATTAAATCTCCACTTAAAAGTTTTCTGCTCAATGGATGGTAATCCATGTTTCTCCAGTTTCCTGCCATAACTGAAGTTTCTCATCCATTGTGTCTTTTAGTCAAATGACAAAACACCTTCTCCAAGTCTTTGACATCCTTTCTGAAGTATGGTGTCTGAATTGTATACAATATTACCAATTGAGGCCTAACCTGAAAATTGTAAACCTTCAGCATGACTGATTTTTTTTTGTATTTACTGCCGCTGTTTCTAAACCATGTATGTTTTGATAACTGCCTTATCAAATTTCTATGCCACTAACAAAGATTTGCGAATACATAGGGTTCTGCTGCTTCTTCACCTCTCAGAATAGTGCTATTTAGGTTATAAAAACAGAAATTGCTGGAAATGCTTAGAAGGTCTGGCAGCACCTGTGGAGAAAAATTAGTTAATGTTTTGGGTCCAGTGACTCTCTCTCAGAACTGAGTTGGGACTGTTCTCCGTGGAGAGAAGGTAGTTAAGAGGAGATCTGACTGAGGTTTTCAAAATAATGAGTGGGCTGGATAGAGCAGATCGGGAGAAACTATTCCTGCTTATAAAGGGAACAAGAACAAGAAGGTATAGATTTAAAGTGATTTGCAAAAAAAAAAAGGGTGATATGAGAAAAAAAATATTTTTCAGCAGCAAGTAGTTGGGGCATGGAATGTATTGTCTGAATGGTGGAGGTAAGTTCAGTTGAGACATTCAAAGGATGATAATTTGGATAGAAATAAAGGATATGCAGAAAAAAAGCAAGAAATTGACAATGGGTAATGATGCTCATTTTGAAGAACCGGTGCAGACACAGTGGAATGAATGGCTTCCCTCTGTACCATAACACTTCTTTGATTTCTGTTATATACTTTGCTTTAAGTAATGTCTTCAGGGTTTTATCCCAACACTTCTGGTCTGGGACCAAAACTAAGTCCTCATTCTGAGATAAACGACAGTAAATGCTGGTATAGCTTGTGTCTTATGAATTTATACAAAAAAGGAAAATGGGTCTAATTGCTTGACAGGGTACAAATGGGTATGTGTCGAACACGTTGGAGATTGAAGGGAGAAGCAAATGAGAAAATATGTAATTTAAAGAACTTTTAAAGTGTTTCAAGATGTTTCATAGAAGTAAACCTTTGACACCAAGTCACTGTTTTGGCACATTCTCTCCTTTTGTGCTATAAATGCAGTTGTATCCTCATGCTACAGGACAGTTGTGGTGAGATAAACCACATTCCCTTTTTCACAGCACATGTTGCTGTATTCTGTGATTTAAATGTCCAGCAGCACAACTACGTTGATACCTCTTGTGAAAGGGTGAGTAAGATGAGTGTGAGGGTTAGATCCCGGTTGGGTAGGCTGAAAAGTGAAAATGGTACTAGTTAAGTGACTGAGTATTTAGGGTAGTTGGTGGTGCTGGGTCTGGCAGAGTCCCTGGGGAGAGGAGTGTCTGGTCTAGTGCCCTTTGAGAAGGGTGGCTGTTGGGTTCTGGGAGTCTGTCAGATCCGCAAGAGAAGAGTATGTTGGGTTCCAGCAACAGGGGATAGACAGATGTGTTCTGACACAGGGGGAGCAATGTATATAGTCATGTCCCAGAGGAATGAGGGTGGTGTCAGCTTCCCTTGGGGTGAGGGGTGTTGTTTGGTCTGGCATCGGGTTGCGGGATTTATTGGGTCACAGGAGGGTGTGGTTGGTGTCAGCTGTTAGGGTTGTCAGGCCAGGGTCTGCAGGAGGTCTGGGGGAGGTATAGTTGGGGTGCCAATGGTACATTGAGTGCTTAGTTTAATAGTTGCCCTGAAGTTAAATTAGGTTTTTAATTGACCTAACTTTACCTGGGTAACTGTTGACATAACTACAAGGGAACCCTCTGATTCCTCTAATTAAATGGACAATTTTGGAGGGTTCCAGGAGTAGGGGAATTGCCCATTTTTTCCTTCTCTTCACTTTCCCAGGGTATTCTCTCAGATTCTGCTATATCAGGGATTCTGTTGTGTCCCAATGTACAACTCCCATCTACACTAAAGAATTAACTATCTGGGAATTGAAAAGTCTGAGCCAATATGTCCTAACATTAGGCATGGATAACTCAGCTGTATACGGCAAAGGAAGAACAACAAAAGAGTAATAGTGATGTAGAATTCATCAATTAGGGGAACAAATTGGCATTTCTTGGTCACCAATGTGACTCCAAGCTGATATGTTGCCTCTTTGGTATCGGGGTCAAGGATATCACGAGTGACTGTAGGACGTTCTGCAGAGACGTTTGGCAAGAGTGGACAAGAGGATGCATAGTTCATATTGATTCCAGTGACTTTGGGCAGCAAGGGGAAATGAAATCCTGAAAGTAGATTTCGGAGAGTTAGGAAAGAATATGGGAAAGCAGCATCTCAAAAGTAGTAATTTCAGTATTAGCCCCCAGTTGGCATGATAATGAACACAGGAATAAGAGAATGAGCAATTGAACATGTAGCTGGAGTACAGGTGTACAGCAGAGGGCATCAGATTGTTTAGACATTGGGATCAGTTCTGGAGTCGGTAGGAACTGTACAAGATGTTATGATCCCAGCTGATGGTACTACTAGACAAGTCAAATCCCTGAATGAAACCTTGCTTGATAAGTCTGAGTTTTTCTGTTTAGTTTGTTAACAGGGTGGTTAGTCACCTGAGGCTTATTCACACAAGGCTGCAGATTTTATTTAAAAATAGAACAGGAGTTTATTAGACAAAGAAATAAAAAAAAAAACAAGCTATCTAAATATAGAAAATAGTTAGATCTCAAAGCAAAGTGCCACTTGTTCCGCAACACTGTTACAGAAAATCAAGTCCAGAGAAATGACATGCCTATCTCGGTTCTTGAAGTTCTACTTAACTGACTCCTTATTGTTGCTTTGCTGTGAACAATGGAAACAATATGATGAGCTCTTTCTAAGTCTGCCAGTGTGAAATTCTTATAAATCTGAGACCCTGAACTTTCACAATTATGATAACCTGCAGATTTCTAACTGGACTGTGCTGATTTGGATGTTTTATGAACTAAAACCTTCTGCTGATGTGACTTGGTCCCTAACCTACTCCTAGTAGAGAAATTAAACTTCTAAACTTAATCCTGGTATCTTCTAAAACTAAATTGTTTAAAAAAAACTTGTTCAATCTTAGATTCTTCTGAACTGTAAACAAAGCTTTATGGCCTTGTATATTTACCCCACCTGCCATAAACCCAACAGCATAAACATCTTTCTATTAATACCACAGGAGTCTGCAGTCACATGCTTTATGGCAAATGCTAAATGTAGCCATTGTTCTGGAAGGACTCTGTAACCTTGTCTGTTTTTTTAAAAGACACCCTTTTGCAGAAGTAACCAACAACCATCTGCTTCAGTTTTGAAATCCAGCTTCCAAAATGGTTTAGTGTATATAAATCATATACTTTTCATCACCAGGGTGGACAAGTTGCATCCTGGCATGACCAGACTAACATTCTCCCAGTGGGAACAAAAACAGAAATTGCTGGAAAAGCTCAGCAGGCAGCATCTGTGAAGAAAAATCAGAGTTTACATTTCGAGTCTGGTGACCCTTCCTCAGAGCCCATTAAGGCTAAGAAATGGATGAATTTCTTCATTTTAGATTCTGAGACATCATTGGAATTCACTACCTTAGAGAGCTGTGGAATCTCAATCATTGCGCATATACAGATAGAAGTTGATGGATAACTAGAGACCAATGGAGTAAGGGAATATGGAGTTGGTGTTGAGAAGCAATATTGAAGTGGGTGATCAAGAATGATCTAACTGAATGTTGAAAAGGCTTAGTGACCTTGAATGGCTTTCTTCTGTTCCTTTGGTTGGACTCCACTCTTAGAAAAGCCAGCAGCGATGTCCTAGGGCTGACATGATTGACTTTCAACAATCATAGTCATTGTCCTTT